GCTTCTGTACCAATATTTTTTGCTAAAAATCTCCACAAAATGTTTTCTACATAATCATTTTCTATATTCTTCTTTTTGATTCAAAACAGGTGCTTCCGATGCCTCATAGCGATCTTTACGGGTACATATTTGTGATTTCCTAAAGCATTTTTCAATTCTGAAGTGAGTTATATACCCACACTGCACTTAACTTGCAAGAGGATCAAGGCTACCTCCTCAAGTTGTCTCAGTCTGCTAGTTTGGTGCATCACAATGTTCAGATGGTCGTGTTCACACAAGACCAAATGAGCCATACGAGGAGAGCAATCACACCAAACTTCTGTCAGGGCGCTTTCACATCTAAGCTTTCTGTTCCTCAAAAAAGGGGGTGCCTTTTTCCTCCGATGTGGTTCCTTTCCACGCAGTCAAAATTTGCAGTCACGAAATCCCATGTGAAATCGTTCTCTTCTCTTATTGGTCAAGAGCAGGCGCAAGGATGTAAACAGGAAGTAGTTTTGCTCCACGGAAGAGAGCGTGAAAGAGCACATACAAGCAATATGAAGCAAAATGGTCTTTTTGTTCAGGTTAATAATTGTCTGGATAAATTACCAGGCTACAGCATAACAGAAAAAAAATACTCAAGTGTACTTTAAGGCAACATCTTGAGCAAATAATATCTATTTACACCGTAAAAAGAAGACACTGCTAATACATGACGATATACTAACCACAAACATGCTACACTGAAGATGTGTTCAGGAAGCCATCGGTTTCATCTGTTTACTACATCACCATCACCCCTTAAGCTTGACCTCGTTCATTTGTCATTGGATCAGCTCAAGTTCTGGTTGTTTTCTCTCCACAATCGAAACATGCCAGATTCCAATGTGGAGCAAACTAACACCACTTCATCCAGATGATATGGGACCAGTTAATTTGATTCATATCCATGTTTCGTTACTGAGTTAAAACTTGAAACAAATGAACCACACCAAGAGAGGGAACAACAGTTTGATTGAAATGGTGCAAAGTACTTAAGTACAATACTAAATCATCATTGAACCAGAGTTTGAAATCCACTCCTCTGGATCTGTCACTTCACTGAAGGGGAACTCATTTCCAAAGGAGCATGGACAAACAGACAACGCTCTTTTTGCTTCTACTTAAAATGGTGCTTTATTAACATACCGACATGTTTAAAAAAAAAAAAAAAAAAAAAGGTGAGACAGCACTTTCCCTTGCCAGATTAGCCAGTTTGGCAATCGTTTCACCACGGGTGAAAGGCAACAGGTTGGAGGCAAATGAGTACACGCTGGAGGAGCCACGTGTGTGTAAGCGCCGGGCTGGTGAACGGAGATTCCAGGAGTTTTAACAAGTAATTCTTACCAGCCTCGGAGCGGCACAATTTACAATTTTCTCACATCGAAGCTGGGCTCACCCCTGAGCTATGTGCTCGAGCACGCTCGTGCTACAACGACTCCGCTAAGAGGCAAAATAAACATGATAGCGTGTTTGTGACTAAATGATCGCTGTACAAATCAGGAGGTAAATGTGAGTTCACACATCACAGTTAATTAATAAAGCCCAACTAAAACAACTGTTTAACCCAAAAAAAAAAAAAACAAAAAAAAACTGTTGTCAACCTCTTGTACCTCAGGCGAGAGGAGACAATGAGACAGGGGGAGGTGGTCGGCCTGCCCGAAAGCTTCCTCTACACTCGGGATCAAGTGAGGAGTTTTCATGGATTCGAAACAGATCAACTTATGGCTATCGCCGATCGTCGTTTTGACTCACAGTCTGACCTGATGGGGCACAATGCAGATATTTACACCTTCCGAGAATTATCTACAAAACAGCAAATTGGTCATGTAATTGATTCAGCTTTATCAAGGCCAAAGAACAGTGCGACACATTTTAATTATTGTACAAAGCACCATTTCACTCAAATATGCAGACGCACTAGTAAACAAACTTGTTGAATATTCACAAATCCCGCTCATTAAAAAAAAAAAAAAAAAAAGACACATATCAACATCACACACAACCACTTTATGTCCCTTTTGTACTCACGGGCTACATTTAATAGTCAAGCAATGCTGCATATCATTTAATTAAATAAACAAGAGATGGATTCACACCAGGTCAAACCCCATGGTTGATTTGCCAGTACATAGGGTAGAGGATAAGCTGCCTCCATTAAAAATCAGACATACTAACATTTATACGGTTATAAATGGGGAGAAATGAAATAACTTCATTTCATGCACAAATTTAATTGCGGTCTTCTAATTGAAATTTTACCATATGGTTTGGGAAAAATTTGCAGGGAAAAAAAATGCCTGATAAAGGGAATTACTTTCTCTCATGTTTAATGGCTGGACTAAAATTAAAACTTCAATCTAAAATTAAACAAAACGTTTGTAAATTATATAATGCATGTAAACAAAATAAATTGAGTCACTGCTAATAAAATATTCCATGTGCTTGATATCAAATATGAAATCCTAGTAATTTTAATATCAAGAGTGAAAATGCAATGATCCTATTTATGCAATGATCCTATTTATAATGACCGAAATTGCAGAAGTCATCATAGCTAAAAACAAAGTTTATAGTCTCTGTACTCAATTATTTTTCACTATTTTATCTGGAACTAAAATAACCAAACACATTTTAAGTAAATGCAATATCTGAAACACAACTTTGCCTTTCAGAAAGGCCCATAATCCTTAACAGAAAAAAAATAGCAAAATGCAATTAAATACAGAAATATTACATGTTACCTCTAATGACAGACTGAAATGTTAATCCACTTATTCAAAAAAGCAAAATTGAGTCACTGCATGCTAAATGAGCAAACTCACAGTAGTCAATAAAACTAACAAGGCCTGAGGACAATGCACACACTTAAACATAATTACACTAACCAAAAGGTAATGATTTATAGACGACTTGAATAGAAGAAACCCACAAAATAATCTAAGCAACTGGAAATGTGAATGGCATTATTTATTAAATTATTCTAATGTACGTCATTTAAAATGTGTCAGTATTCTTTTCCATTGCTATTGTAGTCTCTTGCACAATGAGGATTAATACAATAATAGAATTCCATTCACGTGATATTAACATGAACGTCTTGATCTAATTATTATGGCCATGGGGACGTCTTATTAGGACGTCGCGGGGCTATTTCTTCAGTAGGGCACGGAAATCCTTTCTAAATTAACTCTTTTAATTTGCCGTTGAATTCGAAGCGAGTCAGAAAAAGAAGTCACGACGTGTGGAAAAGGCGTATCCTACTCCGCGTGATTTCGCCCATATATATTGCACCTCCCCTGAAATGGCGAGGGTTGCGGAATAGCAGGGGGGCGGGGGTGTATGTACATTCATACATGTGTGGGCTGGGGCGATCCACCCACACTCTCACACACACACACACGCACGCTGTCTTTTTTTTTTCCCCTTGTAGCGAGCACACATGTATGCACTTTTTTTTGCCCCGTGTGATCCCGCCCCACGCAGGAAAAGGGCCATCGTGGCAGCCATTATGAGGCTCAGCCATCATGGCCTACGTGCACGTTGGCTGAATGGGGAGTGGCGCACCCATTGTGCGCCATGTTGGTGAGCAACTCGAACGCGCCGTTGCGCACCAAATGGCGTCCACAAACCCAACTTTAAAACGTTTACGACGTTGATTTACTCACGTAGGGTGCACGTAAATTCCCCCCCCCTCCCTCCAAAAACGCGTGGGTTGCTAGTGCAGGGAAGCGTGCACGGAAGAAGAGTGGGGGTTGGGGTTGGAGGGGCGCTGGAAGCGCATAGTGTGGGGTCACGTGTTCCTCCACACGGGGGTTGAATATTTACCTTTTTGTCACGCAATTTGGCTTCTCCCTAAAGGCGACGGAGCGGCTGCCTAATCTACATGTCCCGTGGAAGCGTATAGAGCTCGCAAAAAGCGAAAAAGTACACTGTTACGGCGAGTATTGCTGAAATGGCGTGGCCGTGCAAGAAGAAAAATACGTAGACACATACACACACACACAAAGCATCATTGATGCGGGGAGTTGCCTTTCGTTTTCCACGTACACGCTTACATTTATGTGAGGAAGCTGATTGGTATGCTCCTCATTGTGCATTGCGGTGATACGGCTTACACGGTGGGGGTTGGTATATTGGGAGGGGGGGGGGCTCAGTGTAGTCATGATCCAATTCAGGTGCACTGACAATTAAGACAGACTTATGTAATATGAATATTTGCTCGTTTTGGCGCAAAACAATAACTAGACATGCATTTCCACCAACCCCCACAAAAATGTGTGTGTGTGTGTGGGGGGGGGGGGTACAAAACGTGCTTAGCAACATTACACAGCTTAAACTTGTAGGTTTGTAAATCAGGCGTGGGGGGCACACACACACACACGCACACACAATTTAAGATCCTCCACATACAGAATTCAGATCTGGACTTGAGACAGCTTTCTGGAGGGAGCCAATCATATTATTTTTGATTTAGATTATTCATTTCAGAGATATTTTTGCAAATACTTATCACAATACCTAATGTTTTTTCATATTTTCTGTATTTCTTTTTTTGCACATAAGCAAATCATAAAATTACCAGAGCACAACTTAGGGAGTGGACAGTAAAAATGAATTGTGACTGAAATGCAGTGCATATTATACATGATCATTTCTCAGACATGTTTCAGAAGCCCTTTTTAACTTCTCATTGAGAACCTCTCAACAGTATACAGTATAGAAGTGTGTGTGTGTGTGTGTGTGTGTGTGTGTGTGTGTGTGTGTGTGTGTGTGTGTGTGTGTGTGTGTGAGATCCCTGAAAAGGCATATCTACGTTCTTTCCTTGGGAACAGTCGTGGAGTGGACCACGTTAACTTTTCATTGAGAAGTTGTAGTACTGTATAGAGTCGTGTGCGTGTGCGTGTGCGTGTGTGTGTGTGTGTGTGTGTGTGTGCGTGTGCGCGCTCTCGCGCGCGTGTGCCACGCCGAGTCAGGCCTACCTAAGCTTCTTGGGAACGGAGTAGTCCACCTCTATCACCTTGCCATGCAGTTCTGCTTTCCCTATAGGAGCAGAGGCAGTGCAACATTAGGAAACAATGCAAAGAGCAGTTAAAGTTTGGAGAGCTTGTGCAACCCACTCGCGGGGAATCCTTTAAGAGCGCAAGTTAAGTATGTAGCGTAATGGATATTGTGTGTACGTGGAGAATGGGCAGCCATGCTTTGCACTCCCACCTCGCACCCCACTAACCGAACCTGACTCAACAGGGTGTTCGATTCTCAAGGTAAAGATGCGGGAGCAAGAGGGTGAGGGAGGGTAAAGAAGAACCATATTTTGTAGAGGCGGTTCCGAGTGGCCTGGCGCAGCAGCCCCGGAATCATCGTCTCACCTCGTCCCCCTTCACCACCCACCACCACCCCTTTTCCAGCTACCTGTTTATGGGCTCTTTCCTCCGGACCCCCGTGACCCACCGCCAAGACACCTCGTAAAAACACGGCCAGGCGTCCGAGGAACACGGACGTGACAAGTTTTCCGCGCGGGCGTAGCTAGGCTCCCTTCAATAAAATCACGAGAAAAAATAAGTGAAAAATAATTACCCGAAGCATCAAGAGCACCCCGTGCGCACGCATTCCAGCAGGGGTGATCACCCAAAAAATCGACGCATTCTACAACGGAATCTGCACGCATACTGAACGTCTTGTGGCGGTTGTGTTGTCTTTAAGAGGGGACATTTAAGCGGTTCTTTAAAAAAAGTGTCCGGCAATCGATCATCGATTCAATCAGTCTTGACGCGCGCACCACTCACTCACCAAACGAGAATCACATTCACACAAAAAACCCACACGCGCACACAAATAATTCGTGCATGTGCTCATGTGACTGACTCGGTGCGTTATTTTTAAAACGTGTCATCTCATCAAGCATCACTTCTCACTCACCCGAGAGAAGCTCGATAGCCTTCACGGCCGCGTTCTGGTCGGGGAAGTCCACAAAGGCATAGCCGGATTTGACGAGGACCTGCTCGGCCGCGGGCAGCTTCCTTTCCCCGAAGAGCTGCTGCAAGTCCTCCACAGTGACAGAAGGACTTAGATTCCCAACATATAGTTTGTTCATGATCTGACAGGAGCAAGATTGGAGGGGGGTGGATAGAGAAATAAATCCCGGAGATCCTTAAGCGAGGCTGCAAAAAGAAAATGAAAAATGAGAAAAAAGGAAAATAAAAAAGGTGGTGATGGAGGGGGAAAAGGCAGTAGTTATACCCCCCTTTGAAAAAACTAAAAGCTATAAGCAAAGCAAGCCCCCCCTTCTTGCAACTCTGGCCCTGGCCAAACTCTTTTTCACGGGGACTCTGGGAGTTACGACACTACTCTGGAGCCAACAAGCACCGCCTCTAAAATAAAAAGCGCCCCTCTAAAAAAAAAAAAAGTATGCTTGGTGCATACGAGGGGTTCCCTGCTGGTTTTCGGACCCGCGTGGAATACACCAGAAAGTGGCATGCAGGGTTTCCCGAATTTAGACCCGTCTCACGAAATGCTTCCATTTGTATTATCGTCCCAGTAAAATGATCAATGTTATGTTATTGATCATCACGCCGTTACACAATATCTTTCCTTTTGATTTGTACTTCAAGTGAATACACACGCTTTTGTCATTTGTTAAGATACATGATATGCCATTGCACTGCAAATTAATTAAATTGTGTTTTTTTATTAGGCCTACGTTTTAAAATTAAAAGAAGTTATTATTTTTGCCTAGTTTTCCCATTTCAAACATTACATTTATTGTATTACTTGTAACCCCCTAGGTGGAATTCAGCTCTCACATTCATTAGTTTATTATAATATGCTGTATTTGACATTCGTTTACATTCAATTTGTAGTTTGCATTTTACAATTTCTTAACTTTGTGTTAAAATTAAATACAAAATCCAGATGATTCATTCAATCCATCCCTAAATATATTGATAGCTTTTAAATAATTGGTTGTCATTCGCCATTTTAGACAGAACGTGTAACAACTAACATAAAATACGTGCAAACCCATTTTAATCGTGAGCCCTACGTTTTGTAAACTCAGTGGCCAATCGCCATGCTAGTCACAATACGTAAGTGGTAAATAATTAATCCTCAAGTGCATGCACAAAATATAAAAAAGAGTGATCTGAAGTAGCCTGTGTTAATTAATAATGTCTATCCAACATATAATTTGTAAGTGTTTATTTTGACAAATCACACCACCATTCTAGACACAATATGCGTGCAAAACAATCATTTCAAGCTAGGGGGGGAAATTAAATTGGAAATTGTGTTCTGAAACTATTCCATCGCCAACAAATACGTACCAGTGTCTCTCGGCATTATCAAATTGTTACAATAAAGACTCGTTTTGCTCTGAACTGTGGTTGGTATTGTGTCAACTTGTTCAACCACGTGAGTCGCCTTGATTGAAAGGATGGCAGCGCATGGGGAGCTTCTCGGTGGGTGGGAGCATGTTCACAAGGTGGAGCCTCTCTGTCATGGGGGGAAGGGGGGGACACACACAAGCACAGCGAAGTGCTGTTCCTGAGAACGTCGTGAGCACTTTCTGTACCGCACGCTGAAAGGGGCGTGGGGGGTGGGGGGCGGCGCGGCACGACACGCCCACACCGGGGTCCTCTTCACGTGACTTTTCAGCTCATCTCTCCCCCACCCCCGGTGAAACAGTGCTGCCACCCTACAGCTGCAGAATGACTGCGTGGGGGTGTAGAAGTGTGTGTGTGTGT